TGAAGTAGCTGTGACACTCGTGTTGCATGTAATATAAACTTACAAGCTCAGCCATTTTACTTCGATATAACCAACCGGTTTTATCTTCCGACTAGTGATCCACTTAGGATCCCGAGATTTTACAACCCGGATGAAGAACAACCAGTTCCAAGTATGATTCTTTAAGATAGAATCTACTTCACCTCGGTAGCCTCTCCCGTGTTGGTCCACCTGTAGAAGTCACCACTTCTACATATGTTCGAGGCTCGTTTTCTAACAACCATGTCGGAAAATCCAATTTATTTTCTAGTAAACAAGTTAGAATATGCGCGTCACATTCTAGCATGTACGTCAGAAAATCTGAACCAAAGGATTATTCAATCCTAGCTCTCTTGCTACGTTTAGCTTTGAGCTCGGGTTCTCTTTCATACCCTTCAACCATAGCTATGTCGAAAATTCCTTTCAACGTGCTAGGTCCTTTTATTGAATCTTCACAGAAATGCATCTTCTAGAGAGCAATGGATTTCTTGATTCAATTTTCCGTGTTCTTATGTACGCCCAAATTATAGGACTCGTGTACTAAGAACCAATACACAACTTTGGCAAGACACCCCCACATTTCAGGCATTAGCAGGAAACTTCCTACGTACCCACAATTTGTAAGAATTTCATGCGGGTAACCTTATTTAAAAGGTACTTACTTGTCCAAAGAAATGTCTCACCCCACATACTATGAGGTAGACCCGAACTTATCAACGCCTTGATATTTATGTTCGGTAACAACGTTCGATTGAGGTGAATACCGTGTCGTACGCTCAAGTACGATACCAAGGCTTGCGCCGAAACCACCAACAGGCGTTTCATGTTCACTACATCGATCGTTCGTAACCGTGTTAATTCACAATTAATTTGGTTATCCCTTTTATTCTCATAAAGAATAAACATGTGTTACACATTAACACATTTCGTAGCTGCGAACGAATCAGCACGTACGAATCCATTCGAATTTTTGGCCGAAAGGCCACAAACCCGAATCGGTGCTTCCGAAATTGAAGCACGAATCATGCTTGGCAAAGTAGCACGAAAGTGCTACACGAAACCACAAAGCAGGAAATGCTTTTAAACTCACCAAGCACGAAAGTGCTGTTAATTCCCCATGCACAAAAGTGCTTTTAAATTCCACTAAGCACGAAAGTGCTTTTAATTAATCAGTACCATGTGGTGCTTGATTAATTTCCAAGCTTATCACTAAGTGCTATTATTAGCACTATAAGCTAATTAACCCTTTCGAGAGTTTTTTCCGTTAGTGTTCCGAGAGCACTATCCAACAAATCAAATCTAACTTTCATACTAGTATAATTTAGAATTTTGATCAAGTTAATTATAACACAATTAACAAGAACAAATCAACCAAATTTTCAACTAGTTGTATCAAGCTTAATTTGATGTCCCAACAATTTGTCTCAAATTATATTTCATACTAGTATAATTTGGAATTTTTGATCAAGTTAATTATCACACAATTAACGAGAACAAATCAACCAAATTTTCTGACTAGTTGAATCAAGCTTATATAATCGTTCTCAGAATATTAATTAAAATATTCAACAATTGAGCTGTGACGCTCACGATTATATAGTTATCTCAATTTTTGACAAATTGATCCTTGAAATCCGTATCGTTCTACATGAACTTGAACCGAAGTTCTTTTACGGGATTTCAAACATGTAACAGGCTAGTTACATTTCGTTCCGGCCGTTAAGCCATTTTAGCATTTTCCACATAATGCCCCGTGATGCACTACGCACCCTTATTGAATCTTATATATATTAAAAATATCACACAAGAATATTTTAAAATATACAAAGTTCAAAACACACAAATGGAACAATTATATTTTTATTCAAATAAAAATATTACAAGGATACTACAACATTTATTTAATAAATAAATAAATAGGAAAATTACATTGGAAACCAATTTCCATTATTCCTATGTAGTAGTCCTTCGAACCCGTGTGCCTTGTTCCATTCTCAACCGTCCACTCCACAATGGGTGGTCCATAGCGCACATCGGGGGTACCTCGGTTGTGACCTCACTCGTCCAACCATCCACATGTTTTAAACATAGCGAAATTGTCCTCAACCTTTTCACCAGGATGACGGTTCGCTTTGTAATGGCATTTCTCCTTTTTCTCGTAATCTTCTTGAAAGCTAAGCTTCCGCTTGAGTTTCTTTCGATTACGGTTGAAATCATTGGTAACACTACCATAGTCCTCCGACCATGTAGTCATTACACCATCATAGGATCCTTCATGGCTTTTAGCCGATCCGTTAGACAACACAATAGGTACCAATTGTGTGCCATTAGCCACAGGTCTACCGGATCGTGAACCAAAGTTCTCCGGAGCACCATCGTGTGTCTTTGCAACTCCCATGAAAATATTATTTCCAACGTTGCCGCCGTCAACCGGCATCACAGAATGTGCAACATCGTTGCCGTTCTGACCATTTGAATGTGCACCTCCGGCAACATTCACGGATCCAACACTTTTGGAATCCATCGACTTGTTCATTATCACAAAGAGTAAGGTTTTAAGATTGTTGTAGATAATGAACCACAATCGATTTAAATATCCCTTAAAATAATATTTATATATATACACACGAAATATATATAAAATATTATTGGATATATATATCCGAAATATATATATATATATATATATATATATATATATATATATGCACACAAATATATATAAAACGGATCCAAAGGTTATATATACGTATATATCTACGAGAAAGATATAACAATATATATCAACCAAAAGGAACTTATAATCCTCAGATTATAACTCCAAATCAACAAGAAAGAACGGATTTTTGCCTAGAGCATAATCCTAAAACAAGAAAGAAGGAGAAGAAGAAAGAAATGTACGAGTTAGGCGAGTGCCTTTCTTTCCTTAAAACCTTATTTGCCACCTCCCAAAAGTGCTAGGAGCGTTGTGGCCTAGGCTTCCCAGGATAAAACGTACAACGGTTCGACGTTTGAGCACCCAAACGAACGAACCCGGCGAACAAGAGCACGGGCAAACCACAGCTTCAAGAATGGAGTAGAAGCAGAAGTATTTTGAGGCTTGGAAAAATATTTTTCTTGTGTGTTGTTGTTACTTTTTCCTTAGAAAAATTCTGCTGCACTCTACCCCTTCTTATATAGGGAATGAGGAGTCAATAACCTTTATTATGGCATTTAAGGGCATCCCTACAACTCTTGTAACGGCAACCATTAACATGGGTGTTAATTCAAAAATTAAAATTGAAATTAACTCAAAGAATTAATCCCATAACAGCTGAATTAAATCCCAACAGTCACAAACAAGAGCTTCAGGCCAAACTTTCTGCCTAAGTAGTAGTTTCGGCCATCAGGCCGAAACCACTACTTTCGGCCTACTACACGAAACATATGATCAAGTTTCGTGGTGGCCCAAGTGGCCCACGAAACAATTGTTTCATTTCATGAAACAATTGTTTCATTTCACACGAAACAAGAAACAAGAAACATTGTTTCATTTCACACCACGAAAGTTGCATTACAGTGAATCCATTTCTCACTGTTTCACCTCGAATTAGTGAAACCATTAACTAACTTTCGGATTATTTCGTGGCTAAATTGGATAGGAAAATTGCGCACACGAGATTAGGCTTGATCCAAGCTTTTTCGATCTCATTTTTGGGATTTGATTTGCACCCCCCTACGCGCGAGAGAGAGCTTTTATGTTATACAATTCAATAAGCTTAAAAATAGCTCATGTATAAATAGTGGGGCAAATTCTCTTCCCAAACCAATGTGGGACAAAAGCTCACATTTTCCCTTCATTTTCCAACTCAAATGGGTCTACTTTGAGAATCAATATCTCATTCACCCATTATCCGTTTTGAGCGTACAATATATCAATCTCTTCGTCTCACCACGAAGAACCCGAACCCACTTTGACCCGACCCAAATCGGAAGTGGACCCCACTGATAATTGTACCACAAAATAGCCACTTAATATGCCATTTTATGCCATTTTAAGCTATTTTTCCAACAACTTCTCGCTCTTCCCATGCAGTATTCTTGCTGAAACAAATATTAGATTTATGATAATTAACCATTTGCCCAGACAACTTTCCATACCTCATCAAACATTGCTTTATCACACTGGCCTCCTGAAAATTTTCCTTAAAAAACAATAAACTATCATCCGCAAAGAAAAGATGCGATACCGGGGGGGCCCCTCTAGCTACTCTGCATCCGTGTATAGATCCCGCTACCTGAGCTTTCTGCAAAAGTAAAGATAATCCCTCTGCACAAATAATGAACAGATAGGGAGAGAGGGGATCACCTTGTCTGAGACCCCTTGTCGAAACTACCTGTCCCCTTGGCGCACCATTTACCACAATATTATACGTCACAGTTGTGACACACAGCATAATCAAATCAATCCATCTCCTATCAAACCCCATAACTTCCGACATCTTTTTCAAGAAAGACCATTTCATTCTGTCATATGCCTTTGCCATATCCAATTTTAAGGCCCCCCACCCGACTCTACCACACTGCTTTCTATTCAAAAAATGACCAACCTCCGAAGCTACCAGAATATTATCCGTAATTAATCTCCCCGGAATAAAAGCACTCTGGGATTCCGAGATTAGATCTCCCATAAGCGGTTTCATCCGATTTGCTATCATCTTAGCCATAACTCTATACAGCACATTACTCAAAGCAATCGGTCTCATATCCCCAACCGTCTCAGGCACATTTTTCTTAGGAATTAAAATCACATTTTTATCATTCAAACCATGTGGAAATCTCCCTGGATTAAGAGAATTTACAATGAACATAGACACATCCTGCCCCACGACATCCCAAAAATGCTGGTAGAAACCTGGATTCATCCCCATCCGGCCCCGGGGCCTTATCAGGAAACATAGAAAATACAGTTGTTTTGACCTCTTCAATACTAAAGGGGCGCATTAACTCAGTATTATGGGTCGGGGAAACCGTGGAGTAAAATCATCAAATAAGGGATCACTGCATACAGAATTACTAGAGGCAAATATTTTTTCAAAGTAATCCAAAACAATCAAATTCATGTTCTCCCCTTCCACCCACTCCCCAACATCATTCTTCAATTTGGCAACATAATTCTTTTCCTTACGGGCAGAGGCATACCTGTGGTAAAATTTCGTATTGGCATCAGCTCCACGCAGCCAGTGTTGCTTCGCCCGCTGCCTCCAAAAAACATCCTCCTGGGCCTCCAGCTGGGACAACTGGTTCTCAAGATTATGAAACTCAGCTATCGCACCTGGATCACGCCTGTGTCTAATGGCTTCCTGCCTCATTCGCAGCCTCTTAATGCTCTCTCCAAACTTGTGGAAATGGTCTCCACCCCACCGCATCAGACTGTGTCCACAACTTTGCTGACAATTCAGCAAATCGTCAGTCCGACCATTCTGCCAAGCTGTCTCAACCACCTCCCTACACCCCTCATCCAGCAACCAGGCCATTTCAAATCTAAAACCCCTCGGACCCCTTCCCCTTTGCATGCATGGTGCATTTATGTTGAGGAATAAAGTCGAGTGATCCGATTTACGAGTCAGAATATTATGTACCTCCGCATGTTGATTAACATCCCCCCAAGATGTCGTTGCCAAAAACTTATCCAACCACTCCTCAATCCAATTACTAGTGCCCTTACTTTTCTCCCAGGTAAACTGATAACCCCGCATAGCTATCTGCGCCAAACCACACCCATCCACTGCCTCCCAAAAATCGCGTAAGAGACTATCCGGGTGCGAGTTCTCCCCCCCCCCCCCCCCCCCCCCCCCTTCTCGTGTTGATATAGGAGATCATTGAAATCCCCTATTACAACCCAAGGAAGAGAGGATTTCCCGCTTAACGTTCCCAGAAGTTCCCATGATTCCCGTATTCTATGTGGTTCTGGGAAACCATAAAAACCTGTCATATGCCATATCCTATCACCCATCCGTACCTCCACATCTACATGGTTGTTAGAGTAGCTCATAAGCGTAGCAGTATTGTTTTTCTTCCAAAGCAACGCTAAACCACCACCATGACCCTCATTGTCAACAAAAACAAACCCTCGAAACCAAGCTTGATACGAAGGCGTTCTACATGATCCTGTCCAACCATAGTTTCCATTAGAAAGACAAAATCCGGCTTCTTACGGGACACCATGTCCACAATCTCTCGAACTGTCCGTGGATTGCCCAAGCCACGGTAGTTCCAACTCAGGGTACTCATTGGGTCGGGCGGGCCTGGGAACCAGTGCCCGCCTGTTGCAAGTTTTTTGAAAAATCTGTCATCACAATATCATCCCCATCCAATCCATGTCGCACACCACCGTTCCCCAATCCTTCCCGCCGACGCTTGGACACGGCTACCACAGCAACCTCATCATCAGTACCCTCCAAAGCCGTCGGCGTCCCTTCCACCGTATGCTGCCCCACGGCAACATCCCTTACCCGTGTAGTACCCCGTACTGCCGTAGCCGGCGGTAGCAACCAACTGCCGCCAACCGGCCACGGCCCTCGAGTTCCACCCGCCCGTAGCTCCGTGTAACACCCCGATTTTTATTATCCAAATTTTCGTCAAATTTTTTTACTTTTTCTCAATTAAAAGTTCAATAATACTCTAGCGGAAGCATTAACTAACCAAAATAAATGGGTGTTACCGCCACGCTCAGGTATTTCTCTATACCTAAACGCTATGGCTAAATTTACAACATCAAATAAATGATCCAAATTCAACTTAATACATAAAACTGAAATTTCTATACAACAATATTTTTCTCAAGAATATCAAATCTTCCATGCTATGTATTCTTAAATAGACTAAACCCGTTCTCAACTTGAATCCTTTTTCATATTCACCTGTAATAATCATTTCACACAAAAAGAGAATATAGACAAAATTAACATAAGCTATGTAAGTTCCATTTCACCCCGTAAAATAATAGGCTTGGATTTTATAAAATTTCCAAATTAAAATACTTATATATTCTTATACTTTCGCAAACCATATATATAAAAATAGGTATACTTTTGTACAATTAACATAGTAGAGACTTTCCAAGTATTACTCAGTAAATAATCATTTTTCAAAACATTCCACGTCATTTTTCCAAAATGTATCATATTTATCAAGGAGGAGTAGATACCGAGTGTAGAGTCTTTAAGCTCTCAACTTAACCACCAAGAGGTATCATAAGCCAATCATGAAAATAATTTAGAATTCCAATGTGAGTTCTACCGGCTCACTCCGGTTTCCATATCTGAGATAAATTTCAAATTTGTGAGTTCTTCCGGCTCACTCCGGTATAAGAAAAATATTTTTGTGAGTTCTCCCGGCTCACTCCGGTAAAATGACCAAATTCCAGTCGGTAGGTTGTGAGTTTTCCGGCTCACACCAGCACCAAATATCACCCTCCTCCAAGACTAAAATATGTATGTATATATAATTTCATGTCAAAATATTTCTTTTCCAAACTTTACTTGGTAATTAAAAATATGAACGTGGAATAATAATAAGATTTCACCATATATATATATATATATATATATATATATATATATATATACCAAAAATTCCAAGCCGAGCATTTACACAACGCGCGGGTTCGACACGTCGAAACCCATTCTCGATACTTCGAGAATCACCACTCACAATGTTACCATTTATCGATAAATGTACTTGTGCCACCATAATATTATAATCACATAATATATATCACACTTAATTTGTGAAATCATATAACTTTGATTTATATAACATCATATCATAACCACATTCACACATTATAAAAACATATACTTACTTTGGGGTAAATATAAAATTTTAGGAGTTAATACCCAAAATCGTCCTCGACTATAGCGGTTTTTCTCAATTTCGTCCTAAACGACTTTGGTGACCTAATATCGTCCCAGACTTTTGTGTTTCGCTCAATTTAGTCCCAGACTTTTGTGTTTTTGCTCAATTTAGTCCCTCATTTGTTATTCTGTCCATTTGGTGTTAAATAAATAGACAATTCAGTAATTTTAATATTGGCATCTCTTTACTCATAGACATGTGAACTGCGAAATCCCCTTTTTTTTTTTACGAATTACTCCCAGAATTACTCCTAAAACTGCGAATATAAAATTTGATTTGCAGGTCCGGGAGTAATTCTGGGTGTAATTCGTACAAGAAAGAGGAATTTCGCACTTCACAAGTTGAAAGTAAAGAGAGATCAATATTGACATTACTGAATTGTCATTTTATTTAACACCAATTTGACGGAATAACAAATGGAGGACTAAATTGAGCGAAACACGAAAGTCTGGGACGATATTAGGTTACCAAAGTCGTTTAGGACGAAATTGAGAAAAACCACTATAGTCGAGGACGATTTTGGGTATTAACTCAAAATTTTAGTAAACATGAAATCTTACCAAAATGATAATTCTAGCAATTCTATAAACCGTCCGACCTCTAATTCCCATCTTTCTTTCTCTCCTTCACTCTCTTCTTTCTTTTCGTCTCTTTTCTTTCTTTTTCCCTTCTTCCCATTCATTCCCTACGTCCCCTTCTTATAAATCTTTTCTTTCTTATAATCTTATAATAATAAATAATATAAATCTGCTAATCAATCATATTAATAATATATAACTGCTAATCACTTCAATCAACATCCCTAATCCATGCTAATCACTTCAATCAACATCCTTAATCCATCCAATCTGCTGCTAATCACCTATTTATATTTTTTTTTACAACTGTTATTTTTTTTTTTTTCTGCCGAAATCAAAACAATGTAACCATTTTGCAGCTTGTAAAAATTGAACCCAAAACCTCAAGCTTAACCACATAAGTTTCAAACCACTGTACAAATTATTCTCTTGAATTCTCTCTTATCAAATTATATATATATATATATATATATATATATATATATATATATATATAATATACGAAAAACAATACAAGGCTTTGAAAATAAATTGTATATGTATATACTCCACCTGAAATTATCTTTTAGACATAATCTATATCTATATCTATATATATATATATATATATATATATATATATATATATATATATATATATATATATATATATATATATATATATATATAAAAGCAAAATCCTCCTAGCCAAATTTCCCTCCAAAACCTCTATTATATTATAGTATCTGTTCATATACTTTCTCAACCTACTAAAACACAAAGAGCCAATAACACATCCACCACACTAAGGCTCGAACTCATAACCTTCCAAATGGAAGTCCAACCTGGATACCATTAGACCACATAGTCCTGGTAATAATGTCATTACCTTAACTATAAATTATTATACTTTCCTTTTGAATTAGTATTTTCCACCTATAAATACAAATTATACTTTCATTTACACTCTATATTGTTATCTGGTTCATGATTTGATTTGATTTCTAAGTTTTATATGGTTGTTTCTGAATGCAGCCTGCAAAGCTAGGAGTTCAGATTTCATAGTTCATTTCAAGGTAATATTATGATTCCGATAGGTGTAAACTATGTTCACGTTTTCATCTTTATTTCGATTTGTTAGGGGTTTGTATATCAAGATATGTTGTTAGAATATGTCCAAATGTATGTTTATTTACTGGTGTAAATGTATGTATATTTGGGGTATATGTTATTTGATTTTGACATTTTTTTCTTTAAATACCTTGAGATCAAAGTGTTGCATTTTGCATATTGGATTGGTTGTTTTCATCAATTTATTGTGATTTTTGTGTTGTGGTTACCTGATTAAAAAGCATGACCTCTAGCCTACTGTGAATGAGTTTCAACAAAAAGAAATTGAGGAGGAAGAGGCTTGGTAACAGAACCCTAATGGTTTAGTTTTTATGGAAGAGCGTAGAGATGTGATTGAGGATGATAACAACGGTGATTTTGATAATTTTGTTAGATTTTATTAAACTTAGAGTTAGTATGTTGACTTTGATATTTGTACATGTCATTCAAGTTTCTATGTTTTTTTTAACAAGCAGCGTTAAAGGTTTACGTGGTTCGTTGGGCAAAACAGCAATCAAGCAAAAGCTAAATCGAATTGAGGGGTGAAGACGTGGTAGATAGATACCATTTCTCATCCTACTTTGCCTTTTTTCTAAAGAGAGTGGGAATGTGAGGGTGAGGAAAGAGAAAAAGGAAATGGATTGATTTTTTTCTTACCAGAACTTTATATGTTTTCCTTATAAAAATTTATAATTGTAAATTTATATTAATAAATGATTATTGTAAATTTATATTAATACAATGTAATAGAGTCAGTAGCATTAAAAAAACGATTATTAAGACAAGTATAATTTATTTTATATTGTGGATACATTACTTTTAATAATTTTGATTTAATAATATTATACTTTAATTATAAAAATTCTACCTAATAATTTTAGTATTAAATGTCATACAATAATTACCATAAACAATGTTTAATAATTGACAAATTCTATTAGGCAATAAAA